GGGCCGATGCAGCATCAGTCCGTCGATGGAAGTAGATACTTTTTGCTATTCTTGGATGATTATACTCACATGTGTTGGGTATACTTCATGAAGCAAAAGTCAGAAACATTCTCATTGTTCAAGAAGTTCAAAGCAATGGTGGAGAAGCAATCAGATTGTACCATCAAGACACTAAGATCTGATGGAGGTGGTGAGTTCAGTTCACGAGAATTCAACCGGTTCTGTGAAGAGGAAGGAATCAACAAGCAAGTCACATTGCCTTATTCACCTCAACAAAATGGTGCAGCGGAGCGCATGAATAGGACCTTGGTGGAGATGGCTAGATCGATGTTGGCAGAGCAGGACTTACCACTCAAGTTATGGGCAGAAGCGGTATACACTGCATCATACCTTCAAAACCGCCTACCATCAAATGCAATAGAGGAAGATGCCACTCCTATAGAGAAGTGGTGTGGACACAAGCCAGATGTGTCACACATGAGACTGTTTGGTAGCATATGTTACATACATGTCCCAGATCAAAAGAGGAGAAAGCTAGACGTCAAGGCAAAGCGTGGAGTCTTTGTTGGCTATAGCAACCAATCCAAAGGCTATAGAGTTCTCATCTTGGAGAATGAGAAGATTGAAGTATCAAGAGATGTCGAGTTTGAAGAAAGCAAGAAGTGGGATTGGAAAAGGCAAGAAGAAGTGAGGAAGACATTGGAGTTGTCTATAAAAGACTCTCACTCGCCTGAGAAACAAACCGAAGTTACATCCAGTTCTGAGAAACAAACCGAAGTTACATCCAGTCCTGAGGAACAGACCGAAGGTACATCCAGCCCTGAGGAACAATTCGGAGGTATTTTCAGTCATGTTCTCTTTCAAAATGATGATCATGATGCTAGTAGTGGAGATGAAGAAGCTTCTGAGGCACCAAGGAAGTTCAGGTCCATGGTTGATATCATGGAAAGGGCACCGAGAGTAGAGCTTGATGAAGCGGCTCAAGCTAAAGAAGCTTGTCTTCATGCAAATGAAGAACCATACACTTATGATGAAGCGTGTGGTACCAAGGAATGGAGAGAAGCGATGAATGAGGAGATAGCCATGATTGAGAAGAACAAGACGTGGGAACTAGTGGACAAGCCAAAGAAGAAGAATGTGATAAGTGTGAAGTGGATCTACAAGATCAAGACCGATGCTAACGACAATCACATCAAGCACAAGGCACGGCTAGTTGCAAGAGGATTCTCTCAACAGTATGGTGTTGACTACCTTGAGACGTTTGCCCCTGTCTCAAAACATGATACAATACGAGTCATACTTGCCTATGCGGCTCAGATGAAGTGGCGATTGTATCAGATGGATGTGAAGTCAGCATTTCTCAATGGCGACCTCAAGGAAGAAGTGTATGTCACACAACCACCTGGGTATGTGACACACGGGAAGGAACACAAGGTGTTAAGGCTACACAAAGCTTTATATGGTTTAAAGCAAGCCNTGTGAGTTTCGAAGAAGACTCGAATGAAGATCACATGTTGTTCAGTGCGAGCGAAGCAGCAACAACAGTGATGGAGGACGTCTGGTTAGTAGACAGTGGAGCAACTAACCATATGACAAAGGAGGAGAATTACTTCTCAAGGATTGATAAGAGTATCAAGGTTCCAATAAAGATTGGAAATGGAAGCACGGTCATGACAACCGGTAAAGGAGACATTACCGTCATGACTAAAGGTGGCAAAAGGACCATCAGAAATGTGTTCTTGGTTCCGGGTTTGGCGAAAAATTTGTTGAGTGTTCCACAAATTGTTTCAAGCGGATATCGGGTGAGTTTCTAAGAGAAGAGATGCATCATAGATGCTGCAAAAGAAAGGAGGATAATGGATATCCCAATGACTCACAAAAGTTATCGAATCAGGATGAGTTCGGCTTAGGTAGAAGAAGCCATGAGCGCTAGTGAGCAAGGAAAGATGGAGACATGGCACAAGAGACTTGGTCATGTAGGCGACAAAAGGTTGCAACAAATGCAAGACAAAGACTTGGTAAAGGGGTTACCAAAGTTTAAAGTAAAGAAGGAAGCATGTGAAGTGTGTAGAATTGGAAAGCAATCACGCAAAAGCTTCCCAAAGGAATCTCAAACTAAGACAAGAGAAAAGCTTGAGATCGTACATACTGATGTATGTGGGCCGATGCAGCATCAGTCCGTCGATGGAAGTAGATACTTTTTGCTATTCTTGGATGATTATACTCACATGTGTTGGGTATACTTCATGAAGCAAAAGTCAGAAACATTCTC